GAGCAAAATCGCGGTTCAAACCGTTCCATCCTTCTTCGAAAAGGACTTGCAAATCTGCCTTCAAACTCACCAACATTGCATCGTTCTTTTCCTGAAAAACATGCCCAAAAAGTTGTTTGTTCTGACCATCCAAGAGATCCGAGTTATCCTCTTGGCATGGTCGCAAAAGAGCATCATTGTCTTGCCAATCTTTGTCCAAAGTATCTGGCTTCGCAAGGAAAAAATCTGTGTCTTTGCACCACAACCTCCCAACCGCAGCATCATTGAAAGGTTCCTTGTGGCATGAAAAATCGTGACATCCACTGAGCTGCTCTTTGATCTCTGCGGATCCCTTTTCCTGCATACTCTGTCCACACTGACTTTTCAAACACAGACAAACCTCGTCAAAACCTCTCTCGTATCCCTTGGCTTGTTGCAAAACGGCTCCTATCTGCAGGAAAGATGTCTGTTCCGTTACCACTTCATCAATGAGGGGGTCCAAATCCACATCCTCTCTAAGCAGAATGGACAGAACATGCTCCTGACGGCCAACATTGATCTTCATAGTGAAAACATCACCATCATTCCATTGGCCTGGAACATCATGGTATCGTTCACCATTCACAGACATGTGCATGCGTAAGTTCTGCTTGTCCGCATACCGTTTCCAGAAGGGACTCTTGTCCAAAACCTCCAAACTGTCATCTGTGATTTCCACATGCGGCATCACAACAGCCCAAAATTCATGAGCTCCTTTCTTGCCTTTTGGAACATCATCAGCGACATGGATTTCCTGCCGCACAAGCACCGTGACTCCATCTTGTGACCCGTAGTCCACTGCAAAATGGAAAATCATGTCAGTGCATTCTCTCATGTCTGGAACTGCATAAGGGCAAAAAGTAATAGGAGAGTATGGATGATCAAAAGGCCAAAGTTGCCAGATCCTCTCAATCCAATCATGTCCTTGCAGTTCATCCCTGCGAATAACCAACACCCGATGTCCCATGGGTCTATTTTCCGGAGACACCCCATGGATGTGGCACACTATGCTGGTTTCTTGCGGGCGCATGACAAAGAAATCTTCCACCTGGAGATAAAATGCTCCACTTGCTCAACCCGCTCCATGTTGGCAGCAACATGGTCAGGGAGCTTGCCAATAGTCGGGCAACACCACAACCCATGATCAAAATCGTACCGCACATCATCTTGCATCACCTCGGTTCCAAGACGAACCTCGCAGTATCGCATTGTGAAAGGCCTGCATTTCTTGTGGAGACCGAGCTGAACCAGAATTTCCTTCGATGTTGAACCTGTCAAAACCTTGGCTCCATAGGAGACAGGTCGTAAACCAGCTTTCTTGTCACCTTTCTGTGTGATCAGCTGGTTTCGCACATCAGGGTTCAAATCGTCAGGACTGGCAACTCGCACAAGCAGAGTGACAGTGTTGGGTGCCTCACCTGGCTGCAGGAAGACAAAGAAAATGGTCAGGGCTCCATACTGGGCATGGTCCCATCACGCTCTCTGCACCAACTGTGGCAACTGCTGTAAATTCCAGGGATGAAAAGGGAAATCTCTGCGACCCAGGTCTAAAAGACCAATGCCATACGTGATCGCCTGCCATGTAGTATCCTCGTTTTCCAACCCTGTCAAAGCTTGGTCAACGTATTCCTGCAAATGTTGCAGGTGTTGTTCTCCAAAAACTGTGTCAATTTCCTCTTCTTCTTGTTCATCCTCAACAAAAAGAGGTTCAGTTTGCCACGGGTATGGGTCAGGGTGCTCAAACTGCCAACGCACAGGAGAAGCTGACATCCATGAACACTCATCATGCTCAAAGGGCATCTCAATGTGATGCTGTCCTTCCCAGCTCCATGAAAATCTCCTGGCACATCTGACAAATGCCCTCCTTCCGTGTCTGTAGACTGAGAGCTAAGTCCATCTAACTGATCATCCGGGGCCTCAGTGGTGGTTTGTGACCCCTCATCATCGCTTTCTGCTGCTGTTCCATCTGTTTCAGCTTCATCAACAATGACTCGGATTGTGCCCTTTACCAAGGTGGCAATCGGCACCTGCATCAAGTCTTCATCACATAGCAAGGTGTGTTGATTTTCCGCATCAAACTGGATGAAACAACGAGCATTTCGGATTCGACAAGCTTCTGGATGTTGAGCTTCGACATAGAACTGTTGCACAGTGATTCCTTCCCTGTACAGCACAGCACGTTGTCTTCGAAGCGCTGGGAGCGATTCACCATGATACAAAACCGCATTGTAATGCTGGCAATCTCCCTGCATGATAATCACATGAGCAAGTGTACTCGGCAATCCAGGTGGCTTTGGATGAACAAAATGGAAAATGATGTCTTCCTCCTCAAGAAGATCCCACCAAGTTGCACGACACACCTGCTGGAATTCATTTGCTGTCATGCCTTCAACTATGCGAACCTGCCGGTGCTGAACGCAGACATGCGCTCTTCCACGAGCCAGAAACCATGTGATGACAAAACGACCATTCACTACTCTTTCCTGCTCTTTCCAGCTTTGCATAGCAAGATGCCACTGTCCATGCCATTCTGAATCATCCTTTGGCAGGTCAGATTGACTCATAATCGGTGCACTGCATGAAGAAAATGGAACATCGTTTCCCCACCTCGTAGTGGGTCCCTCCATTCCCTGCTGTGCATGCCCAATTGAATATGTATCATGAAAGAGCGCAGAGGTCAGGTATGAGACCACAGACGGCCAATGTAAGTGCCATACATTGCGCAACCAAGTCTCACACTGCTCAATGTGCAAAACCGTCTCGCAAGTTTCATCATCATGAAAGCAAACCACATGGATCCTGTCATGAAAAGCCACCTTCCTGCGAAAACTTTTCACACCTCTGCTCTCAATTGAAGTTTCCTCGACTTTGCCAAATTCTTCTGGCCCCACAAAACAGTGATTGGTAACGCATAAGTTTCTGCATCCATGAAGGGCTCCATCATCAAAATGAGGCTCAAACCTTCGGTGCAAACTTCTGGAACAATGTTGGTCACTGTCAGCGGAATAGACAAAGAAATCTTGATCATCACTCTCTGAAGCAGTATGAACTGTGTCCACAGAATTCAAATACTGTTCAACAAAGGTACCGTTTTCTGATGCTTCATCTTCGTGCTTAGCCACTCGCAACCAACCACGTTCAGCATCCCACCATCTTCTCATGGTCTCCCTCCATGTCTGAGCAAAGTGCTTGTACAAAGGAGTCATAGGAGACAATTCCGGAGAATCAACAACTGCCCTACTGTCCGTTGAAGGGCTGTCATCTCTACTCCTCGACATATTGCTTTCATTGAGATATTCAGAGAATCCAGTGCCTGGTCTTTTCGCAAGACCATCCCACAAGCACCTCATTTCTCCTGTCTGTCTTTCTTCTGTTTCAAATGCAGTTGCGCCACCTTCTGCGGGGATGCGGCTGCTTTGAAATTGGGTTTTGTGACTGCTTTGCTGTCCTTGATAAACTCTACCTCCCCTTCTGCCGTGATCATCTCGTCGTCCTCGTCCGACAACTCCTGGACTTTCGCAACTGATCCTGCGGCAGCGAGAGCTGTTCTCATTTTGTCCATCTGCAGATCCAAAGGCTCTACCTCCTCCTGCGGTGGTTCCTCCACATGCTGATCGACGAGGCTTCTGGAGGCCAAAGTGAGTTCGTACTTCAACTTCCTGAGCTCCTCGAGCTTCTGATTGTACAGCACCATCATTTCTCCCCGGCACTGCTGGTAGAGCTCCGCATGTTGGGAAACCTTCTGCATGGTATTTTGCACAAAAGCAGTCCACTCTTGATCGAGCGCAGCTATCTTCTTTGACTGTGCACTGATCTGTGTTTTGATCTTTGTCATACGATTGAGATGTCCATGTGAAAGAGCCTTGGAGTTGTTCAACTCTGTTTCCTTCATCTCCAGCTCTGTCAACTGATCTTCCAACTCTTTTGGAAGCTGCACATCCATCGTCTTCAAGCCACGCAAGTGAGTCAACTTTTTCTTCTCCTCCTCGGTGAGCGGTTCCTCCTTGGAAGGCATGCTTGGAAAAGTGGCAAGAGGCTGAATCTTCGGTCCAAACTCTTTGTTTTGCGTTCCTACTGGAGTTTCCGCTGGCTGAACAGGATGCCTTGTCGCTGGCGTTGTCGGTATCCATGGGACTCGACTGGGAAAGACCTGCCAGTCTTGATTTGCAAGGCTTTGCTGTTCCTGTTGCTCTGCTTGCTTGGCTGCTTTGCTTTTGCTGCGGGATCGTCGATTTTTCACTGGTTCCTTCCATACTGTGCTCCAGTGCCCATGACAACCACGGCATGTGTCGAATTTCTGGCCATTCTGAACTTTGCAAACTTGGCAATACCAGGTCATTTTGATCTTGTCCCGAATGCGCAGTGAGATGTCTTGAAACCTCCACGCGTGATGCCACTGAAGCGTGTCCAGAGCTCTGCGTAGTTTCTTGCGTCTCTTCCTGCCCAAAGTGAGGCTGGAGCACCGCCTGATCAAGTCCCTTGCTTGTTGCCTTTTCCGGCGCAACAAACGATGCCAGGACTGCTCCTTCCTCACCAAACGGGTGATCTTGCACAAACCAGATGCCAAATGCAAGGGCGAGGCAACGCGCAAACATACGCGTCCCCCTAAGGAATCGCTAAGAGGCGTGAGGGGGGCCACTCCTCAACACCTCCGGAGCCAATGCCTTATATATATATATACATATATATATATGCCCAAATATTCACTCTGGAACCACAAACCTAACAGGAAAATCGTCTTGCAGGGGCCGCTGTAAATGCTGGGAATACACATCTGGTCATTTCGAGTGTCGTCAGCTTTTTGATTCCTGAAATCACCATGGGATCCTCAACGGTGATGCTTGGAGAGAGCTGGTGAATTTGAAAAAACAAGCTGCATTTTGGAACTTTTAAGTCCAACCACTTTAGTTTGTGTACCAACCTACAATTTTGCAGGATTTTGATGCATGCTAAAATTCTCTGTGGCCGGCCGTTGCGCCTAGGTGATGAAGACGACATCGTGTCCCCAGTCAAGAATCAGGCGCCTGGTCCAAATGGGGTACTTGTATGTTGATGTTTTTTTCGATATATTATCATAAATGGCTTCATCTTTTGCAGCCTTGGGGAGCTCATGGGAACACTCTGAAACATGGTGCCTTGGAGATCCCCAGGCTCAGTTTGTGTATCATGTATATATGTCTATGTATGTGATGTATATGGTGTGATGAAATTTGATGTAATGTAATGCAATGTGGTGTAACGGAGTGGAATCTAATGCAAGTTGATATAATTCATATAAGTCAAAATCACTTAGTTTACTGTAATGCAATGGCATGTAATCTAACGCAATGCAAGGTAATGCAATGCATGCATGCAAGTTATACATATATAATATAGACATGTATGTCCGGCAGACAGAGGGTCGGAATGCTCAACGAGCAAAGGTACACGAGCAAGAATCGTAGCGGAGGAAACCAGAAAATCTGGGCTACGTAGAAAAGGGATGTGTGAGACCGCTGGAGAGGGCCCGATAAATATGTGTGGTTTTACTGGCAAACCTAGACCATCATCTGGAGGTTTCCTAAAATGGGGGTACCCCTCAATCATCCATTTTAATTGGATTTTCCATTACAAACCATCCAGCTATTGGGGTAATTCATCTAGCTGGGATGATTTTGGACTCGATTCCTCTGAGGGCCACTGTGGATCTTGCTGGGCTTTTGCAGCGACCTCAGTAGTGGAGAGTGCCGTGGCAATTGCGAATCCAGGCTGCATGGTGCGTGGTGCGTTGACCAACTGGTATGCTAAGTGGTTAGCAATCCATATATCTGGGGTATACCTTACATAAAGCTGGAGTACAATATGGCTATCGATTATCAACCATTTGCTGACTGGGGCACCCCCAAGTATGCCTCACCTTTGCACCTTAACAAACACCCAGCCCAGCAGCAGAGATGAGGGACCCCCATCTACCGAAGGACGGGATGCTGGAGTTGGAAGATATTCCCAACAGCGATTCTGTTGGGTTTCAATCTCTGGGGCGGGGAGTGGTGCCAGCAAAATGCATGCTCCGGAAAACCGGAACAGTGCTGGAACCTTGCTGGAACCCTTGCTCGAACCCTCACGGAAATCTTGCTGAACCTTGCTAGAGTTCTGCTGGAACCTTGCTGGAACCTTGTTGGAACGAACCCTGCTGGAACCTCGCTGGAGCCTTGCTGGAACCTTGCTGAGATCGGAGCCGAACCCCGGCAATCTACAACTCTGGAACCATGGAACTCTCGAAACCTGCAACCTTGCAATCCTGGAAACCTGCAACTGTGGAATCCTGGAACCCTGGAAAGCCTTGGAACCTTGCCCGATAACATTGCAACCTTGGAGCCCTGGAGCCTGCTGTTGGGTTGCAAAGCTGGATTAACACATCTTTGGATCTCACCAGTTTTGTCGATTTTGAACAGTTGCTTTTGATATGCTGTTTTCCCTTATCTATTTCTTTGTGGAAATCAGCACCCTGGTTGTGCAAACCTCGTCGATTCTTACTTGGCAGCCCAATTTAAGTATCCAACCAAACATCACCAACATGTTTTTCTTTCTAATTGCGTTTGCTTACGTTTGTGCATGTTTGTGCCATGTCTTTCTAATTTCACCACATGCAAGGATGTACGTAGTTTTTTTCGTTGCAATTCCAGTGTTTTTTTTGGCACCAAAACCGCATCCAAGGGAAGGTTCCCTGACTATCTTGGCACCTCAGCCCATGGTCTCCTGCGCCGACAATCCGCGTCAGTGCGGTGGCACCGGTGGATGTGCAGGTGGCACCAATTGGTTGTTTCCAAAGGCATCATAATGGTTAACCATAACCACCATTACTAACCATTTACTAACCATTAACCATGAGAAACCCGGATACATCATGAGAAACTGGGCTTACTTTTCTGGGAATGTTTGACGAAATTGGACATGTTTGTTTGATTTCTGTTTCGCTGGTCGTTTTCCATGTTTTTTTTTCCCATCATCTTCCCGTTTCTATGGTTCTCGATTTTCCTGCTTTTCGTCTTACGCTTTCCATGCGTGGTTGATGTTCCCCTTTTCTGCTTTGATTTCCAATCTTGTTTTTTTTCTCCACCTTTTCTCCTCTGGTGACTTCGGAGTTTCCAAGTTGGGGCATGGTTCACTTGGTTCCGCACATCCCGGACAGGTGGAACCTGTCGCTAAAGGTTCTCCGCTAAAGGGTTTGGATTCCGAGGTGAAAGGATACAGATCACGCACAGTAAAGCATTGCAGCCGCAGGTGCCACTGCACAAATTGGCTTTGACTATGTGAAGCAACACTCCATGACTTACGAGGAGGCCACGAGTCCGGGGGGCAGGACACTTTTCCCACAGAGAGACACTCTGAAGGTCGGTCCTTGAAACTCAGGGTGTCCAACCTGGAGCCTAGGGGTTCAGCTGGGCACAAAGTAAAAGCGCCGCAGGTTGATGGCTACGAATCCTTCTGGGGTCACACTGGCGACTGCACCCCTGAGTTCCTTGGCAAATAAGTCCAGGTTTCAATAAAGATTTGTTCTCTGGCTGGGATTGGTGTTGCTGCCTATTTATTGGAAGGTTGGGGCACAGGTGTGCAATCAGCCAGGTGGTATCCCCAACAGCTATGGTGATGGGAAGCGTGACAGCAGCCAGTGAACACCTATCAAGTTCACCCTCTGAACGGGCGACCCATCCCGGAATTCACCCACACCAGAACGGCCGGACCAGCACGCCGGACCTCTGGAACCACCCCGAAACCTGCACCAACATCTTTATAACTGTCTGGAACCATCCCAGAACCATCTCGGAACCAACCCGAACCTGCACCGGAACCTCCCCAGAACGTCCGACGTCCGAAACCAGCCTGGAACCCACATCTCGGGCATGGGTAACACGATGAATTTGATATGCATACCTCACGTATTTATTTATATATTATATATATATAATGTACATGTACTGTATATACATATACATATATATATATGTACAAAAGCAGTGCTATGCTATGTCACCGACATCTTCGTCTACTCCAAGCAGAAGCCCAAGCTCGCTCCAAGCTGGTGCCGCTGGTGCGGCCCAGGATGAAAGCGCATGTTGCCGCGTACCCCGTGGCCAGCATTACCGGCCACGTCACCAACCCGACCAACGAATATGAGGCCCTGAAGGAGGCACTGGTGGCCTTCGGCCCTCAGGTGCCGGGTCGTGGGGATTCACGGGTGGTCAACCCAGGAAGAAGTGACCAAAAAAGAAAAACTTGTTGTTGTGGCTTATGAATAGGCCATAGTTTGTTGCACCATTATTGGTCAATAAGAGTTTGTTTAGCACGAATTCCAACCACCAACACTACTGTTTATTCTGTTTTGTGAATCTGAAACCATCTATGATTGGGGTCACCGAAGGGTTTTGGTTAAATCCCCATGAACACACTACACAGGCAAACGTCTCTATTTTTTCGGGAATGAAACGACCTTTGATGATGCGGGGATAGGTCAATGCCGATGGGGCTCCAACACAGCTGTCCTATGCTGTCAGGCGGTTTCAGTGGACGCTTCGCACTGGAGCCCCTATCAAAACGGCATTGCGGACTTCTGCGACGTTGCTCCTGGGCGAAGCATGGCGAAGCATGGCGAAGCCACGGCGAAGGGATGTTCAACCAGAGACCACCAAACATCGGATGGTTTGATAGTTTGATATTTCATATAATATCATATATATATATACATATATATATAGTTTAATATATAGTTTAATATCTAGTTTAATATATATATTATATAGTTGAATATATAGTTTAATATATAGTTTGATACTGTTTGATATATAGTTTAATATATTGTTTAATATATAGTTTAATATATAGTGTGATATATATTTTAGTATACTTTAATATATAGTTTAATATATAGTTTAATATATATTTTAATATATAGTTTAATAGATAGTTTAATATATATATTTTGATATATAGTTTAATATATATTTTAATATATAGTTTAATATATAGTTTAATATATAGTTTAATATATAGTTTAATATATAGTTTAATATATAGTGTAATATGTAGTTTAATATACAGTTTAATATGGTTTGATCGTGTGCTCATGTTGTCCATGGTGTCCATGTTGTCCATATTGTCGATGTATCTCTGTCGGATTGGTAGCCTATGTTTGAACCACCTTCATCCCGTTGTGGAACGGGGTAACTTGGGCTGCGAGACTTTAAAACATACCCCTGTTGATTGGTTATGATAACCCACCATAGGGATCCGTAGGGATGATTATCAACCAACGAGTATGATGGGACGGGCTAGGGGCTATTTCTCATGGCTTATTTAGCCTGTTGGCTTTGAGGCATCCTGCTCTCGCTGAGGCTGAAAACATCGATATTGACCATGCGGTGGTTCTGAATCTCAGCTGCAGAATGTGCACCTCTTATTCCCCCATGAAAGGAAGTGAAAAATCGACAAAATCGTGAAGGGGTCCAGATCCTATACTGATGGACCATGCACCAGAAGGAGATATCGGACCTAGTTGACCTTCTCTGGGTCCGTTTTGTCATTTGATCCACAACCAGCGCATGCTTTCCAGCTTTTGGATGCATCCATTTATTTTCTGCGACCCCCCCACAGCATGAAAAAGTGTACTGGGTGATTGACCTAAGTCATATCGCACCTCTCACTTGTCCCCAACTCGGGCTATCAACTGTCCTGTCAGTTTTTGAGGCAGACCCCATGCTTGATATGGATGTGGCCATATGCTTTAGTTTATACCATCATTTTTATGGGGAGATCTCCATTAGTTTTGGGTATGTTTTCGGTAAGATATCATTATCTTATCCCACCATCTACTTTTTGTTGGTGAGAATGAATATCCCATAAACCCCCAAGTTTTGTGGGAACCCAGTGCCTTATATACCAAGGATTTCCGCCATCATCTGAGTATGTCTCCAAATTATTGATGATATGAAACCAAAGCATGGTTTAACCCCCAAAATCACCCGCCTTTTAATTTTGTGGATGACATTCCCAACGTTTCCATCAACGTTTCTCATCGCTTTCCTTGCTCGGATGGCCCCCAAGGGTGGGCTATGGCACAGAAGGAAACACCGGCTACTGGACCATCAAGAACTCCTGGGGCACCATGTGGGGCGAGGCGAGGGACGGTGAAACTCCGAAACTGCTGGGATGTTCTCGATGTTTGAAGCCAGTGATGTTTCAAGGAGGCTTTTTGTAGCCAGTGATGTATCCTATGTATAACATCGTATAACATTGTATAACATTGTATAACATTTATAAATACATTTATACACCCCAGTGACACCCAGTGATTGTCAATGAAGATATCATTCGATCATGTACCACTGTGAACGTTGTTTGACGACGACGGCGGCGGCGACGACGAGGAGGAGGAGGACGACGACGACGACGATGATGATGATGACGATGACGAGGATGATGATGGTGTTGGTGATGATGGTGGTGGCGATGATGATGGTGGTGGTGATGATGATGACGATGATGATGATGATGATGGTGGTGGTGATGATATTTATACAATATACACACATGTCAACAATTTTGTGAATAGATACGATCTAGAGTAATCAAACGCGATGGCAAAAGGTTGGCACATCGCTGGCTTCTATGTTCGGTTTCTAAGTGGCTTCTATCTCTGGCATCTACGTGTCTTTTATGTCTGATGTTTGGTTTCTAAGTGGTTCTATCTCTGACGTCTATTGTGGCTTTTATGTCCGCCTGCGAAGTGACGTCCATGTCTGGCATCTATGTTGCTTTTATGGCTGCCGGCTAAGGGGCTTCCATGTGGTTGCTAGGTTGGGTGTCTAAGTGGCTTCTGTGTTCGTACGCGTGATTCTGTCTTCGCAACACAGAGAGACGATTAACATGAACATGAACATGAACATGAACATGAAACAACAACAGCAACAGCAACAACAACAACAAGAACAACAACAACAACAAGAACAAGAACAAGAACAAGAACAAGAACAACAACAGCAACAGCAACAGCAACAGCAACAGCAACAGCAACAGCAACAACAACAACAACAACATCAACATCAACATCAACATCATCAACAACAACATCAACATCAACAACATCAACAAGATCAACAACATCAACATCCACATCAACATCTTCAACAACTTGGAAAACAAAATTGACAGAGGATGGAGTTCCGATTAAATCGATATGCGCCTGCCGCGTCCCTTCAACATCACCATGGTCCACCCATTAACCCCTAAACTCTCCCCCTGCCCACCCGACAGAAAAACACATAGCGAGAAGTTTCAAAAGTTATGATTTTTTTGATGCCGCGGCGCACAAGAGACGTGCTTCGCGTTTGACGAAACTATGAACATGTACGTGCGTCTGACGCTGGTGTAAGCAAAAAGAAAAATCCCGCGTGCTGTGTTAGAAATCAGGTCATGGGAGGCGCAGGTGATAACCTGATTGAGGCGTAAGCGATGTAGTGAGGCGTAAGTGATGTGGAGGCGCAAGTGATGAAATTGTGGAGGCGCAAGTGATGTCTCAGCTATGGCAAAAGCTATAGTGATTTCAGCAACAATAAACGTAGTAATAATGATAATGAGACAGTCAGCAACAATGACAGTACAAAGGATAGAATAAAAGTCGTAATGGTGATAAGATAGTGATTAAAGGGGCCGAGAGTAGTTGTAATGGTAAGAAGACCTGTATTGACCCCAGTGAGACTTGTGACAGTAATGATAATACGCCTTTCCCCCAGTTTTTCCACTTGGAGATATGTGAGGGCCGCTGTCAAACATAATTCCCGAACAAGTTTGCTCAAAGCGGCAAAGCTGAAAAGTCGCCATCGTTCGGTGTGCGCAGGCGATGGCTAGAACCATATTGGATGTCCCATATTATCAGTTATTATCACCCTTTTGTGGGTCAAAACCTCTAAGAAATGATGGTTATTTACTGTAGCTAGTCGCCCGTCGTTGGTCTCAGGAGGGCTACATCCGCCTGATCCGCCACGAGGAAGAGGAGACCTATTGTGGTTGGGACAACACACCTTCTCACGGCAGTTTGTGTGCAGATGAGAAAGTGACCCAGACGCTTGGTCGACGCATCCGGCTTGGTGTGGGAGCTGATGGTGAGCTTTGATGATGGGTTTTTGAGATTTGGTTGGAACATGTTGGAAGCTCTTGAAAGGCTTTTGTTTTCTCAGTATGATTTGGAGATAAATAGAACATACTAGCAGATTCGATTGGCTTTGCGAAGTCGAAATTCCAGAACACCAAGGTAAGCATGTAAAGTAGCAGAACCAAAGTCATTCGTTATTCGAAGTGCCGACATTCGTTTTGGGGTTCTCTAGGCGAACTCTCAGATGGGTACGGCCCAAACAAATAGACCTCCCCAAAAATTGGCTAGTGTTTCATGCAGTCACCAAAACTGTGTCCGCTTTCACCTGGGTCCCAGGTTTATCATTCCCTTTAAAAAAATCGTGGGATTTCAACCAGCATCAAAATCCATGGGGGAATCCCGTTCTCAACCAGGGTGCACTGCAGTCACTGCACTGCGGCAAGCTGCATATCCTCAGAGGGTGATTTTTTCAATTGTTGGTGTTGGGTGTCATTGTAATGTCCATAACATCCCCATTAGATCGCTACTTATATCACTTATATCTGTATAGTTGGTTAAAAAACACCATTTGAATATTGCTACTCTATCCCCATGCTGGGTTTTTTGTTGGTCACTTTTTACAGCACGACCAGGCAATATGTCTGTGGCACCTGCGGCATCCTCTTCGACACGTCCCACGTCGTTGGCGTCAGCTACGTGGGAGTCGGCTCCGGGGACGTGAACCGCTGAGGCAACTGAGGCCACTGAGGCCACTGCGCAAGGCCGCTGAGTGGCACGTAGCTTCGCAAGTGACATCGCGACACCGTGGCGCAAGAAACAACGATGTGTGGTGCCCGGGGGAAGAAATACCAAAGATTAAACAAAGATTAAACAAAAACACGTGATGACACTTGGGAAAAACATTAGGCCACTAGGCTGTGAAGGGAGAAGTCATGATTACTATCAGGATTTAGTACAAGATGATCCCAGGGTGGAAGGGGTCATGGGGAAATTTACGATTCCTGGGTAAAGGATTTCACAGATTTTTCTACCAGCAAGTTGAGCCAGAAAGATGTCATTCTGCTAAAACCAGGCATAGCGTTGGGCAGAGCAAGTACAGCAACAGCTGGCCCCTGTTGGTTGAATGGTTCTGTGGGGCTTCCCAACTTGGTAAAGATTTGACCGACGTTCTGAAGCCTGAAATGATCGATCTTTTGGGAAGATCTCTTCCTTGGATGATTTGCTTGGTGGTTTCGTTCCGGTCTCTTCCCAATTTTCCAGCCGTGGGTCGGCGCAGGTTGCACGCTGTGCAGAGGTGTTTCAGCCTGAGCTGCTTTCTACAGGAGCGGTGGTTAGGGCGAATCGGATCCAAGGACTGGAATCTGAGTTGGATGTCTAGGGTAACATGTCGGATGTATGGTAAAATGTAGTTATTATCATGTTATATCATAATTATTATAGATACATTATGGACATATATTTCATGTAACACACATACTATACATGTACATAGACTGTGCACATTCTATACATAGTCTGTACACATTCTATACATAGACTGAACATATTCTTCCAATTCCATTGTTAAACAAGAATGATGAGGCTTTATGAATGTCTCCCCTCACCTATTGGATGCTTTGCCTCAGCTTTTTGGGCTCAAAAGTCTGCTGTTGACGGTGATTTGACGAGTCTTGCGTGGCAACATATGGGTGTTTCTGCAAATGTGGGATCACAAGTCACCATTGGTTTCAATACTATAGTTTGGCCTAGTGACTTGAATGATATGGGGGTACATCCATTTTAGGATGCCTCCATATAGAATCATGAACTTGGATGCAATTCGCCGTCAAAAAAATCATGATTAGGAGCCCAATGCGCAAAGAACATGTCGGGTGGCATTTCACCGTGAATTTCACCCTGTCATTACATGATTCTGGGTAAATTCTATCGACCTCACTGCGACTGAACCCTGGGAATGCTGGTTAGTAAGGGAAATCATTCCAATATGGCCTTAATTCAGGTTAGTGAAATTAAGGGGCTACGCCCCCTGCCGCCGACCCCTGGGAGAGAGCGATATCTGAGGCACCCTGAGGCATCCTGAGGCTGTGTTTGGCCATTTTGCAGAGGCTCGGAACGCATTCCTTCAAAGTGAGGAATCTTCTTTTGCCAATAGTGGCACCCACGGCACACAATCATTTTAAATCGCGCCTTCGCCACACCAAAACAGCAGGGCCCTGAGGGACGGACTGGGCCTGCGGGCCACGGGCCCCACTGCCTAACGTTGCTTTCTGAACCTACAAGAAAACTAGCTGTCTGAACTGTCTTCCAGTCGCCAAAAGCTTCACAAACGGCGCCTTCGCCACACCAAAACTGCAGGGCCCTGAGG